GGTAGGGAACCGATTGGCTGATGAAATGGCTAGAAAAGCCTCTGAAGAAGACCTCGACTCGGCCCGAATGGCAGCACTCATTCCAATCGTAAAGGAGGTCGTGGCTCCCTTAGTTTATTCGCAGAAAGAATTGGAATTAGCCGAAACACAAGGGGCGGTAATGATAAATGGTGTGTTAGAGATGAAAGACGGACGTACATGGTTGCCAGAGGGAGTAGTCAAGGAGGTTCTTAAGGCGCTCCACGAGGGAGGCCATTGGGGAGTCAAAGCCTTGGTTACAGCTTTCCTACAAAAATATGTGGGCCGAAGAGTTTGGTCTCACGCGAATACCATTCTGGCTCACTGTATTCCATGCCAGCGGGTGAATAAAAACAACCTGAGGAAAGCAGAGATGGGTGGGAGACCACTTGCCATTCACCCATTTGAACGTTTACAGTGTGACTTCATAGACATGCCAAAATCAGGGCCATGGAAACATTGTTTGGTAATTACTGACCAACTTACTGGATGGGTGGAAGCTTACCCAACGGCCAGAGCAACTGCGGGAACTGTGTGTACAATTTTATTGGAACAAATAATTTGTAGATACAGGATCATTAGTTCAATGGACAGTGACAGAGGAACGCATTTCACTCAGAGTGCTACAGCGGGTAGCTGATACTTTGGGAATCACGTGGAAATTACATACTCCATGGCACCCTCAGAGTTCAGGCAAAACTGAAAGAATGAACTAGACACTGAAAAATCAGGTCATAAAACTAACACAGCAGACTCACTTGCCCTGGCCTAAGGTATTGCCTCTAGCTCTGTATGCAATTAGGACTAAACCTCACAGCAGCGCTGGGCTGTCGCCCTTTGAGGGTTTGTACGGGATGGGAATTTGGGATGTGAGCGCGCAAAAGACTAACCCGAATCTAGACCTGTATAAAGATGCATTTATCAGAAAGCATTTGCTGGCACTATTTTCCATTCTCTCCGATAATAGGCAACAAGGGATTTCGGTGCAGAGGACCCCCTTAGAAGTAGCAGTACATTCGTTCCAGCCCGGCGATTGGGCGTACGTGAAGGCTTGGAAAAGTGAACCCCTTTCCCTGAAGTGGCTGGGCCCGTATCAGATACTGCTGACAACAGAAACTGCTATACGAACTAAGGAACTTGGTTGGACTCACCACACCAGAGCCAAACACGCGGCCGATCCTGAAGTACAGTGGGAAGTTATTCCTACCCCCGATGAACTGAAAACTATACTGAAAAGAAAAACTTGGCCAAGACTTTGTGGGACGCCAGTTGGTGGCACACTCAGTATTGCCGTGCCTGTCCGATAACTAAGGATAAGGACCTGTGTTTGAGCTCAGACCCTGAGTCGGGTGAAGATAGTGACTAGAGGAACGCATTTCACTCAGTAAGGGATCTGAAACCTCTTCAGTAAGGGATTTCTTGGAGCCCGAAAGGGAATTCTACCACCAGTTTGGGAGCTGTGATTCCCTCCCCACTCATATTGAAGAGTGTCCCCGACACATTTGTTCGGAGTCTGGCCCCTGTTTGCCCACCCAACAGGCTAGCCCTGGCCCAAACCCACATCGGGCCCTCCTTGGGGCCTGAGGAGATTGTTAGTCTCTTTCTTTCGTCCCCTGGCAGTCCATTCGGGGAACCTGGGGATGTCAGGAATCTTATAGATCCTCTCTTAGGGGCATACCCTTTTGAACCCCACTGCTTACTGCATTGTCACCTTTGTCCCCACCATTGGTGTGCCCGGGTATCTAAATTTGACGAGGAACCCACACTAAGGTGGTACTTGATCAAGGTGGGATATCACACTGGTTTGTGGTTGGAGAGTGTGTGGGCAGTAGACACGTCTACAGCAAACTACCGGTGGAAGCCCGAGGCAGGTCAAGCCGTTAAGGCAGAGATAGTTCCAAGAGGATGGCTTCGCAACGCCCCTCTGATGCACTCCGAAACGTGCTGGAAGTGTCGGAAAACGAGCCCCTACCCTCCGCTCGTGCGAGATCTCGAGGACGAGGAGTGGAACGCCCACTACCAGTATCGGTAAGGCACACTCATCCAGTGTCTTGGAAGGGAATTTGGCAAATGATGGCGGGAAGACCAAGAGTCGGAGGCAAACTGACAATGTCCATGGGTATCCTCTTCTGCCTTATGCTCCAAGTAGCAGGAAACTCATGCCCCTGCATAACAACAACAAGACAGGGAAACAGGGAACAACAGACCTTAGCCTATAAATCAATTTTCAATTGTGGTGGTACCATCACTTCTTGTATATTCGACAGGGTGGAGTACAGAGTTTGTCAGGACTCCTCTGGAACCCAAACTTGTTATGACCCTAAAGAAAACCCCGAGAGGATTTGGATTGAACTTCGTGTTAATGGTAAATTGATAACGCGGGTTGAACGAAAGGGAGACCACCCTATTTCTTTAATTTTTGATGTGTGTGAGGCAATTAGCCATGGAGACTGGACTAGAACTAAATGCGGTGGGATAGACTGGGTCCAGCATTATATGGTGCAACATAAGTATATGGGGGATAGCAGCAAGTGTGGGTCAGGAACGCACCTGTTTGTTCCCGCATGGAACTGTGTGAAATGGGCCACTTGGTCTACCACAGACCGCACTGCTAACCTAAAGAAGGTGCCCGTAAAATCCGATTGTACCTGGGGCTCCTGTAATCTTGTTAACTTTACCATACTGCAACCCGAAGAATGGGACAAGAAAGACAAATGGGGTAAATCCATGTGGGATAAGACATTCAGTATACTCATTGATGGAGAAGGAAAAGACCCCGGGGCGCCCGTTAAGATTATTCAAGTAAAAGAATATCGAGTGGGAGAAGATTTGAGACGATACATGGACTTTTGGAGGGAAGCGGCCACGGACCCTTGGGAACAATCCTTAACACATAAAACCGTTAATCTTTTTATTGAACTAGCTCAGACTGTTGCAGTTACCATGAATGTTTCTAACTGCTACATTTGTGGTGGGACCCTAAAAGGGGATCAGTGGCCTTGGGAAGTATTGGAATGGAATAGTGAGGCCCCTTATAACATGTCAGGCCTACCAGACCACAAGATAAAATCACGATGGGATTTGTCTAACAATCTAATTGGTCGATTTTGTATTCAGCGGACCCCAACCGGGCTGACGCTACCCTTAAGTGTGGGGGATTCAAATTGTCAAAACACCCGGATTATCAATGGGTCACAGTTATCTTACTGGGGAAACCAGACTATTAATCCATGGACCAACCTAACTCGAGAGGTGGCGGTCCTATGGCACAATGGTAGTATGCAAGAAGAAGGGAAAGCTCCGCCAGGCTTGTATTGGATCTGTGGAACCACAGCATATTCACACTTGACTGTAAATTGGACTGGAACTTGTTTTCTGGGCCATTTAAAACCGTTCTTCTTTATGATTCCTTTGGAAAAAGGGACCAACTTGGGGCAGGCAGTTCCTAATAGGAGGAAAAGGGAGTTAAAGATTGGAACATGGAAGGACGATGAATGGCCCCCGGAGCGAATAATTGCCTATTATGATCCAGCAAGTTGGGCACAGGATGGATCCTATGGTTACAGAACCCCGATATATTTACTAAATAGACTTATCAGGTTGCAAGCCGTGGTAGAATTACTAACCCGAGAAAATGAGCAAGCTTTGCTACTTTTGGCCAAACAAAATACTAAGATTAAAAATGCAATATATCAAAACAGATTAGCTTTAGATTATTTGCTAGCAGCTGATAGTGGAGTGTGTGGAAAATTCAACTTAACCAATTGCTGCCTAGAAATTGGAGATACGCAGGAAGCAATTGCAGAAATTACAGGGCGTATGCGAGAAGTAGCACATGTCCCTATTCAGACCTGGACTGGTGTGTTGGATACCTCAGGTTGGTTGGGCGGAATTTTTAATAACTGGAAACAAGCTTTGTTCTTTCTTTGTGTAGCTTTGTTAGGTTTAATGATAATACCATGTATAATACCACTGATTCGTAATATGATCAATTCAGCTGTACAAGCGGCACTGCCAAAAACACAGATGATAGTACGGGCGCCCGAGATCCAATACAAAATCATCCCCGCCTAAGAGGAAAACGAGCCTTGAATAAGTTAAAGTATGTTGGGAAAAGAAAATGGGGGATTGATAAGATAAGGTAACTGTTTAGCTTATTCAACCGGGAAACGCCTCGTAAAAGCAGGCTATTGTTCTCAGTTGTGTCACGTATACTTTTGGCTACTGCGCATGCTCACCCTATGTAGTCATATGTAACCAATCGGAGATCGCCAGCTTGTTTTAATTGCCATATATGGAGATTGTGAGCCAGTCCGGACCGCCCGGGATGGACAGACTATAAAGGTTGTAAGTTTCCTTTGTTCTTCGGAGAAACCATTGCCCCGCGTGGCGATGCTTTTTCCCCGCTTCTGCAGCAGCGCTGAATAAACTTCCTCCTTCGTAGCCTTCGTGTCTCTGCCTCTCTGTTGGGCCTACGGGAACCGAGAATTCCGGATAACACAGGCATAATTAAATCCAGTAAGTAAACTTGTACAGCATTGCCTTTTATCTTTCTGACCAGTATCTTGTTCTTTAGCTCTGCCAGTGCAACAGGAGTGATGTCACTGGCAGGAGCAAGTTGCAGCTACTTACAAAGGCCCTGTTTTAATTTTGGCTTGTGCACAATTAGTATACAATGAAATGAAGCTGTGCAGTGTATCAAAACAGGGACTCTTCAATTAGCAGCAATTTCCTGCTGCCAGTAATGTCAGCTGTAGAGCATGATACTACAAGAAAAACATCTCTGCATGTTTTTGTTGTACATGGTGTAACTCCTTAACAGATTCAAATGCAGAAACTAGATTTAGTTTTCTGTGTTTTCTAACTATGAGGTAATCATTGGATGTAAGATTAAGTATGCCTTATATTTTGATTTGGGTATGGTGAGGCTTTGTGTCATTTGAACACAGGCAAGGTTCAACATGTTATACCCTTTCTTGCAGATGACGATAATTTGGATATGTTGGCCTCCCTCTTAGAAGAGAATGAGGCTGGTGAACAGGAAGGTCAGGAAGAAAATGGAGTGAATAGTGTGTCTACAGTTGGAGAGCCAGATGAATATGATCAGCTCTTTGATGCAGAGGATGATGAATCCTATACTGAGGGGGTAGAGGATGATAGAGGAGACTCCAGTGACTCCAAGGAAAATGTGGCTGTCTTGTTTGGTGACATGAGTGACCGATCAGAAGAGGAGGAGAAAGAGGAAGAAGCGCATGGGGGGCCTCATTCAGGAGCTGCTGATCAGCCGAAGGAGAACACCAACCAAGCTCTGCAAGGTTCGTTAAAGTGTTTTTGTATTTGTGTTGTTTTAAAGCATTTGGGACACTTGTCCCCTTTGGTAGTGTGAAGAAATACCAAGGGGGCAGGTGACTGAGATTTTTTAATAAGAAAAAAAAATCTTTTTAACCAGTGGAAAGAAATTGAATTAATACAATTTTGGAAAGAAAGTTTGTATTAAAAGTATTGCTCCAAAGGGTCCTGTTGGTATGGGGAGCACTATGGTTTAGAGTGTATTCGAATTTTTTTTTGTATTTGTTTTTGTTTTGGAAATTTAAAAAAATTTTAAAAAGAAATTTCTGTCATAGACATTGTTGGAATTTTTCAAGAAAAAACATTTGCAATTATTTTTAATGTACAATAATTTTTCTTAAGATGTGTTCATTTTTAATTTCAAATTAGAAACTGAACTTTTGTTAAAAAGCAAAGTTGGGAAGGCATCAAGGTTTCTAGGAAGTCTAAAAGGGGACATGATGCAAAAGGTTTGGAAGCACCAGATTAAAGTTAAGTACTGTGTCAAATACAGTGGTCCCTCAATTTACAACCATAATATGTTCCAGAAGATGGACATAATTCAAAATGGTTGTAAGTCAAAGCACCATTTTCCATAGGAATGCACTGAAACACAATCTGTTCTGGCCAAAGAAAAAAAATTGACCACAAAAATTCACTACAAGATAAAAAAAAAAATCACTGCAAGACTCATTGGAAACACAATTAATCCCTTCCGGCCGAGGGGGGGGCAAGAAAAGCAATCAAGCATGCAAGACCTATCGGAAATGCACAGAAAACAAAGGGGGCAGGTCAGAAATGCAAAGAAAACAAAGGAAAAAGCAAGGGAAGCATGCAGGACCCATCAGAAATGGGGAAAAAACCCCAAAAAGCAACCAAGACCCATCGGAAATGGGAAAGAAGCCAAAAAGCAACCAAACCCCCCCAAGACCTATAAAAAATAAGGAAAAACCACCCAAAAAGCAACCAAACCCCCCAAGACCCGTCAGAAATGGGGAGGAGCCAAAAAACAAACAACCCCCCAAGACCCATCATAAATGGGAACACTCCAAAAAGCAACAAAAACCAACAAGACCCATCAGAAATAGTGGGGGGGAACCAAAAAACAAACAAACCCCCCAAGACACATCATAGCACAGAAACATAACCCCCCCAGCCCAAAACCACACTGCAAAAACACTCAGAACAGCTTTTAAAAAGCAGAAAACAGCACCTTACCTTACCAGGCAGCCCAAAGCCTCCCTGCAAACACACACACACACACACTCACTCAGAAGCAGAAGCGAGGCAATCCCAAGCCTCCTTCGATGCACGCTCTCTAACTGCTGGGGCAAAAGAGCTACAAAGAAGCAGCCTTGTCGCCCCCTACAGTTAGAAATTTGAATTTCCTTCCTTTTCCCCCCTGCCTTTTTCTGTTTGTAAGTGGAAGCTCCAGTCGCAAGTAGAAGCAAAATTTTGCAGCTGGAGCTGGTCATAAATAGGGATGTTCATAAGTCGAGGCACCACTGTATGAGGCTTTTGTCTTGTCTTTGAGGCAGAGCGAGTTGGTGTCTCATCTGATCTTAGCATGTCTGCCTACTCTGCATTTGTGCTGGGACTTTTAAGTCAAGGATAAGCATCCTATCGCTCAAGGGCCATATGTAGCCCTGAGCCTAAAAGATTAAGTCTCTGCAAGCCAGGAATTCAGCCTTTTGGTAAGATTTCTTCTCCCTGACAGCCTGCTGAGTAGGAGGGAAGAAGGACTGGAAGAAGAGGGAGAAAAGTTAGGGACAAAAAGAGGGGGGAAACCCCTTCACCAACTGTGTCTGGTGGCCCTTCCTACTGCTGCCTTTGGCCCCCATGCCAACAAGCCACCTGCCTCTGCAGTGAATTGCCCACAACAGAGTATAGCCCTTTCAAGGCACTTTGGATTCTTCAGGATGAGTGCTAGTTTTAAACAGCAGGAATTAAATGTGTGTGGAATTGAGCAAATCAGTTGTATCAGGAGAACAAAATTTGACTCGTTGGGATTTGTGGGAGCTTTATGGTATGGATGGTATATGAATAGCCTTCCAGATGTTTTCAGACAGCAGATCCCATCATGCCTTACCTTTACCTGAGCTTGTTAAGGCTTATGGCAGTGGTGTCGAACTGTGGCCCTCCAGATGTTCTTGGCCTTCAACTCCCAGAAATCCTGGCCAGCAGAGGCGATGGTGAAGGCTTCTGGGAGTTGAAGTCCATGAACATCTGGAGGGCCACAGTTCGACACCACTGGCTTATGGGAATTGCTGCCCAACAACCTCTGGAGGGCCATCTCTGCTTTAAAGCAGATAAAGCAATGGTTCTCAACCTTAGGTCCCCAGATGTCCTTAGACTGAAACTCCCAAAAGCCTTCACTATGAGCTGTGCCAGCCAGGATTTCTGGGAGCTGGAGTCCAAGACCCTGGGGATCAAGGTTAGGAGTCATTTCTTGACATTTCTAACTTCCTGCTTCCTCTTTATTTTTGCCTAAATTGTGTTGACTGACTTTAAAACTATGATTTTATCTCACCTTGTGCTTTACAGAGTACACTTTTAAATTGTAAGTTTATCCCTTTTCTCTCCTAGATGAGTTGAGAAAATTACAAGAACAAATGAAGAAACTACAGGCACAATTAGAAATGACAGCAATAGCACAGCCAGTTAACACTGTCTCCAGCAAGAAAGCATCTGGTAATTAGCCTGTTTGCCTCATTTACTCTTCAGCATGCATTTTCATGTTCACAGATCAGCTACATTGGCAAATATTACAAAACAAGGCAAAGGGGGAAAATGATTATCAAGGATGTGTTAGTTGATAATATACATTTTTCAGAGTTCAAAAAAAGTTACTGGGAGAGTCTGAGATTTGTACTTGAAAAACAGCTTTTCTAATTTGTAGGGTTTAATCCATTACTCTGAGCACTGAGATAGTCAATGCTTGCTGATGTATTCCTGAGTATATTAAAAATAGTACTTTTGCATCATGCATAAACTGGGGAAAAGATCATATATGAACTCCAAAGGAAACTGATTATTGGAGACGTTGAAGATGTATGCAGTCACCCTCAACATTGGGGGACGTACTTGCAACCCAAAAGAATAAGATATTTCTATACAGGCTAGAAATTGAGACGTTGTTATATGCAATCTAAGATACCCCTGTTATTAGAAAATTCAGGAATGAAAGGTTTTGGTGCCTGGCAGCCAATGTTCAGGATGTTCTTCCAAAGGTCAGCACTTAGCAAGCCAACCTTTACTTAGCGTAGCCCAGGAGAGTCTAGTCGAATGCCTTGCTGGAGGAGGCTTGTTAGGGTTTGTTTATACCCTGGAACAGTTCTACGACTGTGTATCTATGCTCTCAGAATGCAGTCTAAATTATCTAATAAAACGATTTCTGAATTGATTGGGTTGGTGGTGTTGGAGGATGGGGATTTGTTGGGTTGGTATTGAGACACAGAAGGGAAGTGCAGGCCCAATTTGAAACCACTGTTGAGCTTGAAGGAGAGGAAAAGCAATGTGATTAACCAGAGTTTAAGGACTGCAATTCCCAGAAACACCGACCAGCACAGCTGGTGGTTAAGGCTTTTGGGAATTGCAGTCTGAGAACACTAGGGTTACCCAAGGTTGGGAGCTGCTGCTTTACATCAAGTACATGGGAAGCTGTATCAAACTCAGTTGGAAGCACTCTTCTGACATGTGGGGTTCAGTTTCTCTTTTATTATCAAGTAAAGCATTAAGTTTTAAAATATGTTTATTAAATACTATACTCCATTTTTTCCTTCTGGGTAAACATGTATAGTACCATTGGGGGAGCTATAACCCTCTTAGACTATAATTCCCGTCATCCACTGGGCACATTGAAAGGTCGCCAGTTTCTCAATTTTGATGGAAATATTTTCACTGCAAGTTTTTAAAACATCTTTTCATGTGTTCCTCAGGTAAATTGTCTGCACCTCCCTTAAAGGAAAGGCAATCTCTGAAACTTCAAGAATCACCATGTTTCTCCACCCAGCTCAACTGTCCTGATTTGCTACCATCCAAACATCAACCCCAGAAGCCCAAACCATCCCTTTCTGGTACAGTAGCCAATCATTTCCCTTGACTTAAAGCATAAGAGTAGCTACACGTTAATTTTTTTTTTCTCCGTAAGGAAAAAAGCTTGACACCATATGTCAAAAAAGCCAAATACACATTCTGCCAGTGGAAATCTGCATTATTCAACATGCAACATTTTGGTTGTTTTGAGCATGAGGAGCTTACCCATGTGTAAATGTTAGAGATGTGCTGGCTAAAGAGCAGTTGATACTAAGAAGTTTGAAGGGATGCAAATCCACCTCTAATTTGCTGTTGCTCAAAGTGACAAGCTTTCTGGGAAAAGTTAAAAGCACTGTTTTAGTGCTGGATTAGTTGGTTGTCTTTCTTCCGTGATCATAATTGCCTCTGACTATATTTAAGTAATATCTGCTGATTTTTGGAAGAAGTTCTGTGTTGTGCTATTTGATGGTCTGAAGCCTTAAAGTCGTCTAAGAAACCGCTTACATTGACAACCATAGATGAACCATGTCATCTAGACAGAATGTTTTCACATAGCATGGCCGCTAATCCTTTCTCTTTTTTTCATTCTAAGGGAATAAAAGCCATGTGTCAAAGCCAGCTTCAGGGTTGGTACCTCTGCCTCTTAAGTCTGTCACTGGGAATAGACCTGGAGTGGGCATCAGTCAGAAGTCTCAAGTGCCGAAGAGTTCCAATGTAAATAATCAAGATGTCTCCTTGGAAAAATACTCTGGCCTGAGGTTAAGGTCAGTAAGCAGTGTGGAATAGTTCTTGGAATTTCTCATTTGGATCGTTTCTAGGATAAGTACATGTGCCTTTCAAAAGTGAAAAGGTAAACATTATTTTGCAAGAAAAACAAAATTCTGTACAGTGGACCCTCTACTTAAGGAATTAATCCGTATTGGAATGGTGGCTGCAAGTCGAAAAGTCTATAGGTCGAATCTCCGTTGACCTACAATGCATTGAAAACCGATTAATCTCATAACCAGCGGTTTTTATTCTATTTTTGTTCCATTTTGGGTTTTTTCTGGTCTGTAAGTCGATTCTCCGGCTGCAAGTCGAATCTAAATTTTGCAGTCAGAGAAGTCTGGAACTCGAAAAGTCTGCAAGTCGAGCCGTCTGTAAGTCGAGGGTCCACTGTAATTGGTACAAATGTTGGGAATTGAGTGCATTATTTTATCCCAGGTTGAGTGTTCAGGGAAAACATCACACTGGGTATTATTTCTGAGAACCTATTTAGAAGCTAGTTTCTAAGATTTCCTCAGTCATTTTCTACTTGCAGACAGGGTGGATTTGGCTTAAATCAAATTGATTTAAATCACTATTTAAATTACTACTCAGGAAAATTTAATTTATCACGCTATGTTTTTCCTCCACTCTTGTCGCAGCCTCCAGTAATCCTCTATTTAATGACACGTTTGTGACTGCAAGTATGCCAGAGTTTTCAGGGAGAGAAGCAAGGACTTTACTTTTTTTGCGCAGAGCTACAAAGGGACAATAGTTAAAGATCCTAAAGAAATTGTGTTAGAAATACAATATTGTGTTAGAAATTTTAAAAAGACTTTAAAAGTTAAGGAATAAATTCAGTTAGAAGTGAAAAACAGGGCTGGTCAGGTCCTTTATTTCTCATTTCCAAATACTGCCTTTAACAAGTATGTAGCCCTAGCGATGGGATAACCAGTGTGGTGTAGTGGATAGAGTGATGGACTAGGGCTTTGGAGGCTTCACTCTGCCATGGACACTCACTAAGGGTATGGAAGTGGTAAAAACCATTCCTTAAATATCTCAGTTACCTGAAATGCCCTATTAGGGTTGTTATAAGTCAGTTTGGACTGGATGGCACATAACAGGCTATAGAGACACACCCAGTTTGGAAACTATGTATCTTTTGATACAGTTAGTTTATTGGGAGAGATACAAATATTAACTCAAATGATCTGTGCAAGCCTGGAGAGCTTGTACAGCTTTATTTAAAACACCCCAGAACTGCACAGTGGGGACAGCTTCATCAGCAGTTGCAAATTGCTGCTGATTAAAGGCTCCCTTTGGTAATTCTGGTGTGTGTACAAGTTTGAGACATTGGCCAAAATCCTGTTGCTTAGTGTAGTAAATTGCACTAGACTCATTTGAATCAATGGGATTTGACTCACTAAATCCCCATTGATTCAGTGGGCTTACTTCAGTGGATTTACCATGGTAAAGAACACAATTTGGGCCATTATAAATTATTATCACATAATTTTTTAAGTAAAAACATTTAAATAATAGAACTTTGCAGATCTGATTTAACTAAAATATCCTTTTTTATAATGAGAGAAACTGATTTTTATCCATTCTACTTGCAACAGCTTTTTAGTCTTCAGGGATAAAAACTTATGTGTGTGTGTGTGTGTGTGTGTGTGTGTGTGTGTGTGTGTGTGTGTCTGTGTGTGTGTGTGTGTGTGTGTGTGTGTGTGTGTGTGTGTGTGTGTTTTATAAAGGGAAGTGGAAATTTTAAAGTTCTTCATTCCCACCTTAGTTTGACCTCTCTGGAGGTGAATGCCCCTTATCTCTTTAGCTCTTTCTGGTTGGGAATGTTTATGCTTGATTATCTTACAGTGACTTGTTCCCTTGGGTGTGTGTGTGTGTGTGTGTGTGTGTGTGTGTGTGTGTGTTTTAAAGGGAAGTGGAAATTTTCTTCATTCCCACCTTAGTTGTGAATGCCCCACTCCTCAGCTCTTTCTGGCTGGGAATGTTTATGCTTGATTATCTTACAGTGACTTGTTCCCTTGGGTGACTCTCATTGGCTTGGCTTCCCCCTCATGGTTTCGGTAGAAAGTTTCCTCTTGCTTTGTGTTTCAGATTTTTATTTCCTTTGCAGAAAACCTCGTGTCTCTTCAGCTGAAATGGAGAGAAAAATGATGGGCCGGAAGTTTATTAGACTTTCTGTGTTAAAAGACAAACTTGCATCTACAAATCTGGAGGAAACAGACTGGGTGACATTTGGAGTTATCATAAAGAAAGTCACTTCTCAGAGTTCCAATAACGTAAATGGTTTTATGTTTTTCTTTATTTCTGATAGGTGTCTGAGGTCTTTCCTTTTCCATTCTAGGTAAAACAATTTGTAGTTTTGACTTCTCAGTGGTATTGCACTTTACTTCCATTCTATTGCTAACCGGAGCTTGTCCTGCAATGCCCCTTTTAGAGGAGTTAGCATAGCATATTAGCTGAGAGGTTTCCAGTTCCTATCTCATCTCAGTTACAAATTCCTTAGTTGGTCTTCAGCAAACCACTGTCACTTGACATATGTCCACTTACTGAGGCGTGTTTGTGTAATAAAATTTATAAGTGGCATCTTCAGTCCTAAAGTTCTCAGAACAACTTGCAAGCATAAAAATACCAATCAAAATAAAAGTATAATAAAACAATGGTGGAACAGCACTTTCAGGAGTGTTTAAAATGTGTAAAAAGATGTAACAGGTTTGCGGGAATAAAAGATCTTCATGTGGAAGTGAACAGTGTATAATGTACAGAAGGAGTTTTTAGTGAGATAGCCTTACTAGTCCATTTTGGCATAAAAAAATAATAAGAAAAGCAGTGCTTGTGTGCCTTTAAGAGAAACAATTTTATTTTAGCACAGGGTTCCATAGATTGCTGTAGGCTTTCACTGCCTACCCTGTTTTTCACTGGAACAATGTGATTGCTCCCCGTCACAGGATAGCCAAGTGCAAAATGAGAGCTGAATAGGCATTTTATATATATAAAGGTAAAGGTTCCCCTTGACAATTTTTGTCCAGTCGTGTCCGACTCTAGGGGGCGGCGCTCATCCCGCTCTTCAAGCCATTGCTGTAGGCTTTCACTGCCTACCCTGTTTTTCACTGGAACAATGTGATTGCTCCCCTTCACAGGACAGCCAAGTGCAAAATGATAGCTGAATAGGCATCTTATTTATATATATTTTTTGTTCTTATGTGCTTTCATGTCACCTTCAATTTATGACCATATGAACGTGTGTGTGTGTGTGTGTGTGTATTTATAGTTCTTATGTGCTTTCAAGTCACCTTCAATTTATGATGACCATACGAACAAGTGACCTCCAAAATGTTGTGTACCTAGCAGCCCTCCTCAGCTTTTGCAAGCTGAAGACTGAGGCTTCCTTTATAGACTCAGTCCCTCTCATATTTGGGCTTCCTCTTTGCCTGCTACCTTCTTTTTCTCGCAATATGTCTTTCCAGATGTGCCCAGAGTGCAATCTCATTTCATCATTTTGGCTTCCAGAGAAAGTTCAGTCTTAATTTGATTTAGGGCCTACTTCTGAAGTGCAACTCCCAGAATTCCCCAGACAGCCTAGAGGAATCCGGGTACTTATAGTCCAAAAAGGCAGATCCACACGCCTTTATTTCCTAGTGAACGTGCCTAGAATTGTAAAGTGAAGCTTCTTTATACTGGACGCCCCACTGTGTATAGAATGGTGTACTCTGACGGTAGTAATAATTTTAACAGCGACCCGGAGAAGAGATACTACCATTTTAAATTGCTCTTCCTTTATGTATGTCTTCAAGGGTAAAACCTTCAGCATCTGGCACTTGAACGACCTGCGTGACTTCAGCCGATGTGTCTCATTGTTTCTCTTTGGTGAGGTTCACAAAGACCACTGGAAGACAGACCAAGGGATGGTCATAGGCCTACTCAATGCTAATCTCATGAAACCAAAAGACGGATCAGACGAGGTAACCATGCGCTCTGGACACAGGGCTCAAAATTTCTGAAGATGAAGTTTTCATGCATTTTACTTAACATATATTTTGAATAGACTTTGCTGGTGGGGAAAATATGAGAAAAAATTTTGTTTTCAGTATCTTATTGCAATCATTCCCAGCCAGGTCTCAGCGGCAGTAGGTTTTATCTCACATAAACTTTTGGTACATTTCTTTACCTAAGGATCATTCTTAAAGTGAAGTAGCAGAAGCTGATCCCTCTTGATATGTGCTCACCATTGGCGATCTATGGCTACAAGGCCAGAAGGAATGCTGGGTTTTAATTGAAGTCACTTGGGGGGATAGTTGGTGTATCTCCTTAGGGAGGTTGCATAATGCCAAGAACTTGGCTATGAAACTAACACAGGGAATATGAGCAAGTGCACTTGTGTCACACAAACAAACACAGGCATGCCTTTGCCTAGTCACAGTATGTGTCAGGAAGTGATATTCAAGGGTGTAATTTGGTCCCATCTCCTCAGGATTGCTTGTCCTTTTATATTGTTACGAATCAAGAAACAGAGTGTGGCTGAACATAGCTTGGCTGAAGTTGACCAGGTGGCTGAGGGAAACTGTTGACAGGCCAGGCTAAATAGAAAGAAGGCTATGACAGAAATTTGCAGAAGGCATTAAATTGTAAATAACCATGTTATTTTTATTATTGCTTTTCATATTTATAAACCATCTGTGAAAGTTGCGGCAGTTCCTCAACGTTGGCAGGAAATAACGACTGAGACTTGTCCGTACTGCTTACAACTTCGACTTTATTAACTCTCAGTGTTTCAACCACCACCGCAACCGGACCGAAATAAGACAAATCAGGCAAAGGTCCATAATTAGATGAGGATAGTTCTTCTTGAAAATTAGGATAACTCACAGAGGGGCTGGGCCAAAACGCTCCTGATGCATGGAATTCAGCAGAGGAGGACTCTACCATGTAAATGGTGCCACAACATGGGCGTAGAGCCCAGTCTCTCAGTGGTTTGTTGTACATCTGATCCAGTCGGGCCACCTTCCTTACACCTCCTTGTCCCCACGGGAGAACAATCACTGTCCATTCTTGAGTTTCAAACATCGTCTCCTCTTTTCACCTCCGGGTCCGGTAACAACCTACCAACTTTTAGGTTAGGAAAGTCTTTCAACAGACCACACGTTTGCTCATGCTTTGAATCTACGCCTTCATTCTTGAATCTACTGCCTAATCTCCTCTCTCCTTGATCTTTTATACTTCCCCCCCCGTACTGATATTTTTAGCTCCTCTCCTTTTCCTCCCTCTCTTCTACCAGATAGACCTCTATCTTCCCTTTTCCCCCTTCTAGTGTCTCTACAGGTGAGGATGACTCACTTTTTCTACCAGACAGACCTCTATCTTCCCTTTTTCCCCTTCCAGTGTCTCTACGGGTGAGGACGACTCATTTCCTTCCTTCTTTCCTTCACATCATCCAATATAATTCTCTGGATCACTTGCAAGTAAAGTATTAAAAGTCTTAAGAACCATAAATAAAAATAAAAATGGCTTGATTCCAAAATATAATAAAATAAAATTTAAAATAGAATGAAACCAGCAGCAGAGAATAGTATCAGTAGGATAGTTCTCTTTGCTGCAGAACGCATAGGCCTGCCTATGTGTATAGTCTTTGGCCAGCAATTTGTCATATTTGAGATTGTAGAGATCCAAAGAACCACTTTTGTATTCTGGAGCCTCGTGGCGCAGTGGTTAAACTGCTGTACTGCAGCCAAAACTGTGCTCACAACCCAAGGTTCAATCCCAGGTAACTTGCTCAAGGTTCACTCAACCTTCCATCCTTCCAAGGTCGGTAAAATGAGTACCCAGTTCGCTGGGGGGGGGCAATGTGTAGCCTGCAGAATTAACTTGTGAACCGCCCAGAGAGTGCTTTAAGTGTTTTGGGGCAGTATGTAAGCAGCATGCTTTGCTTTTGTTCCTCATTCGCATTCTTTAACCTCATTTTTTAAAAATTCAGTGCTGATGTTGAGGTTCCTGTTGGACAGGAATTCCTTCAGAAATGAGAGAGGACTTGACTCATGGTCTTCCTAGTTGTAGTGTAGAGTAAGGGAAGGCGGGTGATGCAGACCCATGTTCAGAAGGAAGGACCAATGTACCTGTCCCTGGGAGACCTTCCCATCCTTCTGCCCCTTTTTCAGGAAGACTTGGAGAATCTGAGGTGCCCTGCAGTCCCTTCACCAACACATGCAGGTCCAAGTCTTTGTCTCTGCCTTTACAATACTTGTTTTCAACTCAAAAGAATCTGAAGAAGCTTACATTAGTAACTTGTATTTATCATCAGAAAGTTGATGATAAGGCAGACAAAATGCAGGGCTCTGAATATATAGAAATCTTGTTTTATTCCAGTGAACAGCAGGGATAGTTTTAGTGGGCTCTACCATTGGAGTAGTAAGGGTTTTTGTTATTATTTATAATATTTTTACTATTTATATGCCATCCAGTACAATTGTCTGGGTAGCTTACGAGTAAAACATTAAAACCGTTAGGAACTATAAATAAAACTGAAAATGGGTTCTAAAATAGAATCAAATAAAATCTAAAATAGAATAAAACCAGCTGCAGAGGGATAACATCAGTAGAATAGTTCTCTTTTTTGCTTAGCAAATTTATATCTTGCTTTTCGTTTAGAATCCTTGAAAAAAGCAAGCCCACAGTTCCTTCCACTTAAGGAAGGGAGAGGGTACCTCTTCCAGCATGGCACAGAGTTATGCTGTTCTCTGCCTTGGCATCACAGGGCAGGGTGGCTTGAATTGCTACCAGTGGATATGCTGTCCACCTCTTCTGCCCAGGGAACCCATCTTGCTGGGCAGTAAGAACTATGGAGACCCCTTTACTTCACTGGAGCAGGAAGTGGAAAAGGCAAGGCTTACCAAGTACAAGGAGCAATTCTTGCCTACCAGTCCCAGCCCAAATCTGAGGGCCCCTAAGCAAACATCTCCTCCCTATCCAAATATTCGCTTTATAGTGGCGCTTGACCAGTACCTCCAGAGAAAGCCAGTGATCTTGCGGGAGCTTTCCCACAGCACTCTGTGCAATGAAATCTGCCTTACTGTTTCTTTTTAGGTTTGTTTATCTGTCGATCACCCCCAGAAGATCTTGCTTTTGGGTGAGGCCATGGACTTGGGAATCTGTAGAGCTAAGAAGAAAAATGGAGAGCCCTGCACACAGATGGTTAACTTGGTGTGTATATCTTGGTCAGCATTTTCTTGTCCTGATTTATAATTTGGATTTCAGACTCCAAAGTGTTGGGAGGTCAAATACCCAACAGGTGGGCAACTTTCAAGCCGCTCCACAAGCCCACATCTGGATTTTGGAGACCATAACCACCCCCCTCCAGCCCCAATGTTTACTCGAGAAACACCCTTTTGTGCCCTCTAGTGTATTGGGGGGGAGAGCATTTCATCAGGTTTTTCCATCTCCTTGGGCATTCCCAAGAGCAGCTTTTCTCTCAATCCAGAAGTGGTTGGGGGGGGAGCACCTCCACACCTAAAACAGCTTTTAAGGGGGCAAAATTGGCAGAATTCTCTCTCCTGGCCCTTTGAGGGGAATAAATGCTTTTTCAAAAAAAAGAAGAGGGGTTGTGGGGGGATAGCAGGACTTTGCCTTGAGGAATCTGAATTCAGAGGGCTGAATGAGACATATAGGCTGAGCTTGGTCCACCCCTGCCAGTATTTTATACTAAAAATTGCTACATTTGAGGGGTGGGGTGATAGTAAGATTTCTAAAACACCTCATGATTTCTCCCAACATTCTCACCTTGCATATTTTTGATTGCCAAAATCTGTTCATCAGCTCCCACTTGACAGTCTCCCCCCCCCTTTCACATGCAGGCCCACTAACACCCGTGCTTGTCCACTGCCAACATCACTCTCCTCTCCCTGTCTATGTACTACTATTTGCTTTCTAAATTCCTTACATGCGCCAAGACATACCAGACCTTCCCCTCTGCCAGCTTAAACATCCCTATATTCAAGTCTCTGTTGGTAAAGGTAAATTGTAAACTCTAGCTGCGTGCTGAGAAACCAGTATACTGCCTGTTGAAAGAGGCTGATGGAGAAAGAAGCTAATATTTTGGACTGGGAGCAGCTGTTGTTTGTGGTTTGGGCCACTTTTCAGCTAAGCACCAACAGATCCAGATTTTGAGGGCTGGAGAAAAGCCTGGCCTAAGGGCCTCCAGTTTTCAGTTAGTTAAAATGACAAGTTCATTCTGTTGAAAGGCTTGAGGTTTCCAGGTAACGTCTGCACAATTCCAGTAGTAGCTATAAAAGGAAGCAAACCCACATTTCATAATGTTTGGATCTGTGGGCAGGTTTTCTACCACACCAACCCCCTCTCTCTTTTCCCTTCTTTTTTTTCCAGAATGAATGTGAGTTTTGCCAGTATCACGTACAATCCCAGTACCGAAGGCTGAGTTCAAAGCGGGCAGACCTGCAGTCGACGTTCTCAGGCACTCGGGCGCCAAAACGAACTGCAAAGAAGAACCTTGGCTTGAAAGAAAGGCTTTGTCAGGATGGGTTTTATTATGGAGGCGTTTCCTCAGCAGCTTATGCCGCTTCCGCGTAAGGGAAACAATGCCCCTTCGGTGCCCTTTCACATAGTTGTCCTTTCCTTATTATATTTACCGGTTATCTTTACCTAAACACAAATGTGCCAAATCCATTCAAAGGCAAAGCCCTGTTGTCTCTCATAGCCATGGTTTAGGAGTTCTGTACCTGGGCTCTCTACCATTGTCTCCTTTTATAACAGCAGGTATTGTAGCTGAAATGCTTTGGTGGATAACACAAATTTTGGGGACATCCATCCTTAAACTAGTGCCCATCCACACACACTCTCCTCTTACCCTCGTGTTGATGAGGGGAAATGGGAGTGTTCATCTAACACAGGGGTCCCCAACCCCCGGTCCACGGCCCGGTGCCAGTCCCTGGGCTGCCTTGGACTGGGCCGTGGACAAGGATCACCCCCCCCCCGCAAGCCCACACGCTGGTGGCCGTTTCACGCTTTT